ATATGCAAGCTTCGAATTTATGCAGTACTTCATTTATTCAATTTTCTTAAATCTGTGAATAAATTTTCAGTCTTGTGACCTTTACAGTATTTTGAAACAAAATGCATTCCACCCTTTATTGTTAAAAGGCCTTGAAACATTCCATCAATGAAATAAACACGGCACAAATTGACAACAGAGCCAAAGGACTCTTAACAGTAGTAAACAGTCAATAGTCTGTAAGCATCTAGCAACAGCAACAGTTAACATTTTAAGGCAACCAAGACTCGCTGTTAGCAGAACAGAAGCATAACATTTCAGTAACAGAAGAGCTACCCCTGCATGTACCCCTCCTATTTCGAAAACTTCCCCGTTAGCAGGGGTGTTTTAAGTCTAGAGAATGCTAACTGTGCTCTGCAATGTAAAGTAGCAGGATATGTGAAAAGGATACCTGTGGCATCAGAAAAAAAAGTGCTGGCTGATGTTAATGTGTCAGACTTCTTTAATGTGATACACTCAAGTAAATAAGAACTTGTCCACTATTTAGATATAGTTAGCGTTTCGAATAAAATATATTTTATGACCAATGAATACAAATAAAAGTACAGATATGACATTGATAGTACAGTAAAATCTATTTAATCATTGCCCACCAGGTTTCTTTCAGTGCGCGATGGTAAGTTCATTTGGCAAATGGAAGCTTCTCATTTAGCTCCCAGCTGATGAGGTGGAGATGTGGGTCTAAACCAGGCCAGTGGCTTTTAGCCCCCTTTAAAATAGTTTTAATTGAATTTATTGATATTTTAGAGGAGGGCAGAGAAGGGCCCTTGCTCTCGCCCTCTCACAAGTCAAATGCAAACCCAACAAAGTAGAGAGAGCTGGGGCTGGAGCTCGGGGCTCGGAGCTCGGAGTTCAGAGCCTTGGGATCTGGGAATTGGAATGTGGGACTGCGAGGCTGCCAAATGTGGCCCAGAAAAACCAAAGTTTAGTTAACTTTTCATCAGGCTAATAAAGCGTACGTCTTTTTGGCAACGAAATGGCGGCGTTGGAGACAACGACACCAAATCAATGCTCAACTAGAGTTTGGGCTCTTAAAATCTGTTCATGTGTGTGTGATTATAGATGCGACTAATGAATAGAAATGTCGTCCTTCAAAACTTTTCGGTTACCAGGCCAAAGAAAATCTGGCTGTTTCCCTCTACCTCTATTTGTGTGGGTTAATGAAAATCCGATTTTTGTTTCACATTCCCACACACACAAACACTTTATACTTTCAAGTTGACTTTGAGTTTTTGGCATTTTGAGAGCTCAAGGAAGCGTGGCAAAAGATTTGCGGTTCACTTGGAATGCAAAACTTAAATGCGTGCCATATGAATCGTTAATTGTGTGGGTGTGGCAGCGGGCGGAAACGGAAGCGGGCTGGAAGAGGAAGAGAGCGCGTTGGGAAGGCGCATAGAAAATCAAGGGAAAGGGTGAATAATAAATGAACCTTCTACGCTCTGGTTTGTAAGAAGGTATTCGAATTTGAGTTTCATAAATTTGATATTACGTTTTGAATATTGAATGAACTCTATTTTCGACAGCTATCAGCCTGACAATATATCTTGAAGGTAATTTAAGAGTGAAATGATGCGTCTATCGAATTTTCATTGCTCCTAGTACATACATTCTTGGTTTAATTTCCTTTGCTGTGCTTAAAAGTCACAATAATTATTTTCACAATCTTAATTTCTGATCCGCTCTTGTTTTCGAGTCATTAATGGGAAGCGCATTCCTTGGCTTTAATATTAAATTAAGCAGCCTTGGCAAATATTTTCATGCTCATTCATAAAATTTGACATTAGCATATTGCATTTCCATTGCGTTAATGTGACAAAATGACAAATGAAGTTGGTTTCGCTCCTCCAGTCGCGTTGCATTGCCAGTCGAGAGCCGTCTGTCTGCCTGTCTGTCGCGTTTCATTTCCTCCGCCTGCCTTCCGGTTCCTCGAATGGTATTTTATGCGTTTCGCGGCAAACTGCACTTGAATTCGCATTTGCATTTTTCCGAGCGTGGCAAAAAGCAAAACACTCTGACAAGCGTTTACAAACTCGCCAGTGCGACAACGCCAGCAACAAGCCAAGTAGCGCGGCAACTTTGAAATTGATAAATTGATTTATGCAAAGAAAACAACAAAAAAGGAAGACAGAAAGAATCTCCAGAGGAGGCAAAACTTATATTTTTGTATATGTATACGCCAGCTTTCTATATCATCCGCACTCTTGAGTCCGTTGAATATGAAAAATAATGATGGTGGGCGAATCAAAAATTTGTAGCATACCCACAGGCTGATGTGCCAGCCGCAGGACATTCAAAAGATATAGTCATTGAACCTGAGGCTCAGACAGAATTTAGGCTTACAACCTCTGACTGCTACACACAAAATCAATTAATAAACAAAATTGCAATTGTTCGTTATGTCTGCTGCAGACTTCCCCCATCCGAAAGCTTCTGTGGCTATTTTTATAAGAGCTTCCTTCTCTTTTTTCCAGGCACCAGTGCCGCTTAAAGTCGCTCCCAGACCCATTGTGCCGGGATTTGACGTCATTATTGTTTCTGTGGTTCCTGCTGATTGACCCACGCCCCCTCACGTACCAATAGCAGCTCCATCGCAATGCCAACCATATTCTCGTATCAGTTTCCATTTTTTGCGAAAACACTTTCTGCTGTTCGTGGTGCCCACATATAAGTCTATTTATACACCTGCGGTCAGACTAGAAGTGTTCTGTGGAATCCATATTATGATATAATAATTTAAAACTGTTTAACTTCCGATTAATATTTCTTTCCTTTCAAGAGGTATCGATTTAGTAATTAAATATTAATCCGTTTTCTATACGTACTGCTTCTGTACTTAAGAAACATGGTTAGACACTGGCCTACAAGAACTGATTTAAGAAAACCATTTTATCAAGTAGACAAATACCAGTGCTATTGCCATAGGCTCATGTGTGTGTACATATATCCTTTTGCATGTGCACTGCGACATTTAAACCGTACAGACAAACAATTCTATATGGTAAACAAGTCACGTGCCACGTGTGTTATTGCTTTTCGTTGCCTTTGATTTTCTGCACTGAGTGGGAGTGGGAGTGTTATGGCAAGATGCTGGCTTAATGGGCGGCACCACGCCCACTTGCTAAAGCAGCTGGCATTATAAACTTAATTAAAATATCGGCAGACAGTGATAAATGACAGCCCCCCGAAAGCAGGCAATGTTTTCTTTTGGAAAGGCAAGCGGCAAATATTTAAACACTCACACATATTGTAAGGACTTTGGCGAAGATTCGCGGGCGTGTGTGTATTTATAGACACACATAGCCGTGAGCACACACACACTTATCCATAGGCACACACTATGGGGCTACAATCACAATCACAGGTAACTGCTACATGTGTAAATATTTACAAAACGCGCCAAGCGTCGACAAACCGACGCCAAGCATCTTCACTTTTGCCGCCAACGAGCGGTGCTTCATTGTTGCTGCAGCGCGCAACTCTTTCGCTTCGTCCAGGAGCGTTTCTTGGGCGCCAACGGGTGCTATTCAGTATGGTCCTTCATGTCGGATACTTAACCGTTTGGGCTTATTACTTCAGAGGTGTGATTTAGCTGAAATTACCCCTCTATAGTTAATGTAATTTTTAAGTTGTAACTTAAAAAGATTATTCAGTTTTTTTTTTTTAACATAAAAAAACTACCTGACCCGATTAGGCGCCGAATGCTCCTGTCTTTTCATTCACCCACGCAGCCAAGCACACAGGTTTATTTATGCCTTTCGATATTTATCGCTGTTGCTCTATTTGCTTTTGTTGCTGCCACTGCTGCTTTTCGAGAATCCCCCCATTTCAAAGTGGGTATATGTGTGTTTTATACCCTTTTATTATTATTATGCTGTCATTCCTGTTGTCGCGACATTGTCAGCAAGCGCTGTGTGGTACTGCGGTACCCTTTTGCGGGTACATGGGATATGGTTATTGTGTAACCGCCTGCGTGTCCATGCTTAGTCCTTTATGTCGACGTTGAAAGGGTTTTAGTTGCCCCATTTCGACAAATCGTTTTATGTCATCATATGTTCAGATACAAGTCAAAACGTTTTACTACTCCAGAAACTGGTCATAACTCGAGACAAAATTCAATGTGTGAACTTCACTTCGAATACCCAAATCAATTTAGTAATTTGCTCCATTTGGCATTTCATTCCATATGCCTCATAATGTCAACGATGCCGATATATCAAATGGTAATAGAAGATGTCTTGGCAGGTTTGAGAGTGCCATAAATTTGGAGTCCACAGGATCTTGAAAGGACAGAGTTTGCACTTCAATGTTTTTGCGTGAAACAGGATATGCATCTGTAGTATACTTCAGCAGATTGGGATCAAAAAATAAGACTAGGTTTCTATCTCACCCTTTTTTAAATGCAGGCATGGAATAAAGTGCAATCCCACCCCTAACTGAAGCCTAAAAGGCAAATCGCTTAAACTCCCTGTTTGGCTGCTGACTTTGATATACAGCCTTTTGAGTGTCGCTCAAAGTAGTAGGAAAAAACTAGAATTGGAGTACGAGTATGTGGAACAACCCTTAGGGCAATGCAAAATGCATTTCATTCGGTCTGACAGTTTTTGCTTTTTCAATTCCTGGAGGACAGTAGCAGAATCAATTTAGGAAATATCTTGAACTAAAATAAAACATTTTGAATTCTTGATATTCCCAGTTCCTGCATTTTATATATCCTCCTTATAATAATCGCTAAAAGTGAATTAAAGTCATAACCTTGTTACCCTACAAAAATATTAAATTGATTGAAATAGTTCGTAAAATAGCTTTTTAAGTAGACAATTAAAAGTAAAGCAGAGTGTGAGATTAGAAAAGTACACACGATAACTGTGTCAGCTGGAGGCTAATTATTATTATTAAAATTCATATAGCGTGATATTAAAAGTATATATGGCAAAGAGCTTTTTAAATAGTTTCAGTTGTGATCGGTTATTATGGATTTGAACATAGTTATACTTGCATTCATCTCCCTTCTTTACAAGGCAAATGGAGCAGTGTACGAACTCTCGGTGGCCGATGAGGAAATATTTAGGAGCTGTCCCAATCCTGAGCCAGGCACCCTTGACATCCATGGATTTTTGGATTTATCGGAATTTTCCACTTCCATGAATGCCAATGGACTGACTGTAAGCGGGAACCAGACTTTGGTGTGGGACATCCAACGCAAGGATCGCATACAGGTGACTACGTCCTCGACACCGGTGATAAAATCTAGAACATCCCAATTATTCCGCAGGTGTCCATTAAACTTCTCTATTTGGAACGGGGCACGTGGACGTCGACTGTTTTCTCATTATTTATGAGGGATTTCTGTAAAACCATGTATGACAAAAATCAGATACTCTATGATTCCTGGACGGGGCATATCGTAAACGGTGATAAGGATAAATGTGTTAATGTTCCAGGAGTAGGTTTGAACTTTCGCCATATACAGAGATTTTCTACGAACTTTATTTCAGACAAAATTTATATTGAAGACCTACGTACTCAGTTTGACCTCCTCAATTTCCGCCCCACTTCGTGAAGGACGCTACAAGGCGAATGTAATGGGTCGAGCGTTTGATTCCACCGGAACCGAGAGACCCACCCGCATTTGCTGTGAAATAGTTGGAGATGTTTTTAAAATTAAGAACTAGGTGTAGCTAGAAGTTTAATTTACTTTTTGCCGAACGCCCAACATGCAAAGCAATCCCCGTACTACGAGCCCACATTTCGAAGATGTACTAATTTTACATTTCAATAAATAATACCTGCGAGCATATGGCTACTTACATATCCTTTCGCCAAAGAGAAATGTTTTAAATATTTTTAATTTATCTGTTTTATGTTGTGTGTAATAAATTTGGAACACTCCAAAAAACCAAAAATATTGTGTTTATTAAAAAATATAAAAAATCAAGAGTATGTATGCGATTTATTGAGAATATCCTCATGCGTAATAATTTTTTTTTCACTTTTTTTTACATACCATTTACATGGTATTTTTTTATTACACCATTCACGAACTCTATCCGAAAAGCTTCATACACACAAAAAAAAACGAGTTATTAATTACATACTTAGACGTTATATAAACTCTGTAAAATTATACCTTGTATAAACTGTATGAACACTAAAAGACTGGGGCAGCTGCAGAGTAATTACTATAATTAGTAACAGCATCCTGTTTCTCTGTACTTATATAGTGTGGCTTCAACAATGGGAGCGCTTCATTTGGTTCTAAATTCACAGAATGGTTCCAAAAGTACTCCTGCTAGCGGTGCTCGCCATCTCAGCAGGTGCAGAGAAGTATGAACTTACGGTGGATGAGGAGGTATTTCTCAGTTGCCCTGATCCTGAGCCCGGCACGCTCGACATACATGGCTTGGCAGATATATCGGAGCTCTCAACTACCATGGATGCTGGTGGGGTAACTCTAAGCGGAAATGCGACTCTTAGGTGGGCCGTTCAACCAGAGGATCGCGTGGAGGTGATTTCATCTTTACAAAGCTGTGGCGACTTATGCATGATGTATGTTTTTTGGCAGATGAGTGGCAAACTTTTATATATGGACAGAGGGACCTGGACGCCAACAGTGTTCTCGCTGACTGCAAAGGACTTCTGCACTGTTATGTTCGACAAAAACCAACTGTGGTACAAATACTGGACTGCGCATATTACCAATGAAGTAAAGAATTGTTTAAATGTTCCCGGTGTGAGTACTAAAATTACTCCTGCATTAAAAATTCGCCCTTTAATTTTCCGCATCACAGACTAAAATTATACATGAGAAATATGTGCTCAGTTTGACCGCTACTGCTGTGGGGCCAGTTACCCCAGGTCGTTACAAAGCCAACCTAATGTTCAGAGCCTACGATTCTTCCGGGGCCGAGAGGCCGACTCGCATTTGCGTAGAAGTACGGGGCGATTTATCTAAAGTCAGACGATCAAAGCCCTTTGCATAAAGGGGGCCCAATAGGCCTTGCAAGAAATGATTAGATGTTTACTAAAATATGTACGAAATTTATTATTGGTGTGAAGCGTACAAATTAAAGATCTATCATTATGTTTCTATATATAATCGTTTATATATACACTCAAATACACTTACGGGCTATGCAGAAATCAGCTTACGTCAATTACTTAAACAAATGTAGCGTCATACTCTTAATTACCTACGGGACACAAATCCGAATTCTCTTAATCGATTGCCATGGGTCCGCGACCGCCCAATTGCGCTGGTGCAACGTAGTCGACACTGCTAACTTAACTAAGACACAGGAGATCGTTGAGGCGTTGATGTTGACAGGCAGCAGATTTCGCTGCCCGATCATGTCAGATGCGGCGTGGCCGCAGTCGCCGATTTCCCCGCAAAGAATCGACTTCCGCCGGTCTGGTTGGTGAAGAGCAGCGTGTCAACTGAGGGCAGCATCTGGTTGGATCGCACCAGCAGGGGCACATTCACCATGGACACAGAGGGTGTCTGAGCCAAGCTCGTGGTCACAGACTGAACACCATTGCCCGTACTGCTAAGCTTGCCGTGTGCATTCAGCGTAAAGGCGGGCAGGTAGTAGTTCCCAGATCTCACTGGTAGTGCATTCGTCGATATGGCGACACTGGATGCGGATGAAACAGCGGTCAGCTCCATTGAGGCCGGCGACGAAAACGGTGAGGACTCCAGTGAGGGGCAAGCTAAGCGGTCGCTGGGCTTACAAGGCACTGTAAGTACAAAATTGTAAACTACAATTAAGTTTTTAAAAACAAAACTAATTATACACTTAACAGCGTAGATCATTCGATAGGACAGGGCATTATCATTCGAAACTTACAGAAGTCATCCTCTGGCAACAGCTCGTCCGGTATTTCATTCTTTATCTGGAAGTGCAGGGCAGCAGCCGAATCTGAAATGGCGTTGTCCGACGTTCCCATTTCTGTGTTCGCATTTGGCGCATCGTACAGACCGCACTCCTCCATCTCCAGGGCCTGCTCCATGATCAGCTCTTCGGCTGACGTCAGACTAAGGCCGTGTAGGTCGAGGAACGGGCCCTGAGTCTGCAGTGGCTCCTTCTTGATTTGCGGCACTGCAGGAATGGGTTCTAAGCTGGACTGCTGAGGCTGGCCCTGCTGTAGAAGCTGCGGTTTTTGCTGCAGTTGCTTGGGTGCAAGCTGCTTTCGTTCTCGCTTGACTTTGGTCTGCTTAGGGGCCGGCGGGGCCAGTGGCACCAGCACAGTGGTTAGTTCCTGTTGATGCCCTTGCCCCTGCGGCACAGGATGCACTTGCTGCAGAGCAGTACCGGCAGGTAGAGTTATTCCCAATGCGGCAAGAGTGGCCTGCTGCGGCTGCTTCTTTTTCCGCGCTTGTTTTGCAGGAGCCGGCGCAGCAGCAGACGTAATATTGGCCTTGGCTTTTAGTTCACCAGAAGCGGAAAGATCGTTGGGATTCACAGCTGCAGTTGCTGCTGCCGCCGCTGCTGCTGCTGCTGCTGCCGCGGCTGCTTTTTGGGCCTTGTTTGTAGTAGACTTCTTTGAGCAGTAGGAGGGAATGTTCTCGAGGTGTTCACCCGTTTTGTGGTCCACCTTGTGCCGACGTCTCGTGTGCTTCAGCCAGTTGGGGAAGTTAGTAAAGTCGCGCGGACAGTAGTTGCATTTGAATGGCCGCATGCCGGTGTGTATGTTGGAGTGCTGCTTCAGCTTTGAATTGCTGATGAAACTCTTGTCGCATACTGTGCACGCGAATGGTCGCTGCTCCAGGTGCACCAAGTTGTGAACTTTGAGGCAGCGCTCCGTTTTGTACATCTTGCCGCACTTTTCGCAACGATAGGAACGCGTTTGCGCATGGTACTTCTGGTGGCGCTGCAGATGTGAGCGCTCCTGGAATCGCTTTTGACACTCGGGACACTCGTAAGGCTTCTCCGATGAGTGAATCCGTGCGTGGTGCGTGAGGTTTATTTTTTGCACAAACTTTTGGCCGCAAATGTCGCACTGGTACTTCTTGTTATCGCTGTGAATCTTTCGATGCATCCACATGCTTCCCAATTTGAGGCTAAAATGAGAGTAAAATGGTCAATAGAAATAACTTTTTTCCGTTTGCATTAACACTTACCACTTTCCGCAGTCGGGACACTTCTTCCAGGTGTCCTTGCGACCCTCGGTGCGGTGCGTCTTTAGGTGCTTCTTCAAACCGGCCAGCACCTCAAATTCCCGCTGGCACTCGCTGCAACGGTAGGTGGGCCTCAGCCGATGGGCGGCCGCCTCGTGCTTGGCCACCTCGTCGGGCGTCTCCAGTAGTAGTCCGTTGCAGTCGAGGCACTTGTGCAGCGGTGCCGGATCTACTTCCAACGGCTTCGTTTCCGAGGCAGCCGGAGGCGGCATGCTAGCCGCATCTGCCGCCGACTCTGCCGTTTTGGCCTGCTGAAAGATGGTAAACGATGGCGGCAGTAGCTCGGACTCGCACACCTCTACTTTGGTGACCACTTGCTCCGGCGGATGCTTCTCCTCGGGCGGCTCCTCCTTAAAGACCTTCAGACGCACCGCCGTCGCCGCCGGCAGCTTGGGCTTGCGTTGCAGTAGCTGTGCCTGGGGCATTTGGAGCTGATGCTGCTGGTGGAGCTGCTCGGGCGATAGCTTTACGGGCGTGGACGTGCCGCTGGAGGAAGTCTTCTTAAACGGGGAGTTAGTGAAAGCATTCGGTGGCTCGGGTCGTAGGAAAGTCACACTAAACTCCGAGCTGGAGTGGTTATCACTGGTCAAGCTGCTGGACACGGTTGAGGAGCTGGTGGCAGCCATATCATCACGGCAGACGTCCGAGGAGAGATTCAGCTCGGTGTTGTTTTGGGCACTCTCGTCCAAAACGCGCCAAAAGTCGGTGGAGGAGAGACTGTTACCATTGACCAGGCTGGCGGAGCTGATGGTCACGCAGGCCGACAGATCGATGTCCAGCGACTCGTCCTTGATGCTCGATATCGAGTCGAAGTTGTTAATCCGCAGGAGCGAGCTGAGTATCTCGTCGTGGGCCGCCTTCGTGGGGGTGCCCGCATCGCCGCTGTATATTTTAGGCGGCAACTTCTTGCTTGGCGCCTCCTCCTTCATTCTCTTGCCCTCGCCCTTGCCGCCCTCCATTCGCCTTGCCTTGCGTACACGTACAGGTTATGCGGTCGGCGTTTTCGCTCGCCGTATTTTGTCTTTGTTCGCCGCGCCGCTGGCGCTTTGCGTTCACTGGTGGTCGTTGCCCGGTCACTGGGTCCCCAATTCACTCATCGCGATCGCTTTCGATGGGTTAAACGCGCCGCAATTGATCGAAAAACATTTAATTATTGTGAAATGCGCCTTGGCTTTGTTGTTTTTGTCACGCTTACAATTCTCGAGTCGCCATTTTGAGAACAGTGTTGGAAGACGCGTACGAGTGGCAGTCCCGCTAAAAGTAATGGTCAACTGGCGGGCTGCTAGCTAAATTTAATTCACGAATGAATCCAGCATTTTAAATATGTTTTCTTGACTCAACAGAAATTGCTGTGCAACAAGGAAATATGTTCTTTACCGACTCAATTTATAAGGTAACATTTTTAATGATTTAATTTGGGATTACGTTGTCAAGGGTCTTCAACGCTGTGGCGCTTTTAAAATTATAAGTATTATATATTGATATAATAAAAATTGAACGTGATAGGCGAAAAGATAGTGTTATTTGTTTATGTTTTTCACGTTTCTGTTTACACGTTTACAAAGTGAAAATACAAGTTTGTACCATGAAACAAGTTTTTATATATATTTTTTTTTTATATTTATATACCCCTTGTATCTATGATTACCTTTAATGTCCTTTTATTACCAAATTTTTATATTATGTTTTTAGCTATACTTGAGAAACATATTAGCACAGGTCATTTCCTTTCTGCTAGAATTTGTATATTGAGATAGGTTCTGCATGCGCACGCCAAGGAATGAACTAGTTCGGCGAACTTGATAAACATTGAACACCTTTGGCTACTTTTGTTGTTAAATTACATTTTATATTTTACATACATTGTAAATATTTTATTTTTATTTCAATGTTTAAAAATGGAAACTAGCAAAATTCGAAAAGGGTCTGACAAATAATCAATATATAGCTATCTGTCGTGGTCAAACAAAGAGCTATCGATATTGGCGGGATATGTATATCGACACCACTTTGTAATATTAATATGGCGTCAGAAGGCGAAAACGTTGTGATGGAAAGTCCAGGTAAAGAGTTCAAAAAATTACAAATATCCGGAACCCAGAGCCCGGAGATTAATTATTGAGTTCTGACTAGTCCCGTCCGGAAGGCGACATTGTCAGTTATTTTGAACAGGCCAGAAACGCATTTCGAAAAAAGCGATCACGAGGCGGCGAACCCATAATACCGCGCGTACAGTTTATGTAAACCGCATGGATTAACCAAGACAGTTAATTGACGTTTTTCAGGTCGCCGCACACGTTCTGGTCGGAAAGCCGCATCTCCGGCTGCAACGCTACCAACGAGAAGCACCCGTCGCACATCCAAGCGGAACGTACAGGTCAGTTCATCCCACGTATGTAGTTGCCGCCTTATCCAGATCATTAGCCCATGATGTAAACGATTGCAATTTCCAGTGCGGATGTGGCGTTGTTCCATTCGCACATGATTCTTCTCCCCGGAGGAGTTAGTGATTACCTGCAAGGGCCAACTGAAGGCACAGCATCCAATAATGCACTGAGAAATGCCAGTATCCTTCATTAACAACCTTTAATCCTTTCAGCTAAGTGACCACGAAGAGGAGGCCGAAGATCAAGTGGCCATGGTTCAGGACGAGGAGGAGCCCTTTGCAGGGACGACCACCGAGGAGGCACCTGCTTTAGAGTCCCAGTTCGAGGAGACACAGCACCAGATAGAGGATGACGTGGAAATGCTAATGCCAGCCGAGACTGCAGGTGTCGATGAAAAGAGCTCTTCCTTTCCATTTGGCACGGTGGCGGAGCAGCATTCAGAGACTAGTGATGATATTAAGGAGACACGCGGACAGGCTGGCGTGGACACCCTACTGGCTTCTATGGCCGGCGATAATGCCAACAGCTTGCCCTCCGTGGGTGGAAATGATGAGAGTGACAATGCCAAGAAGGCGGACTTTGAGTACAATGTAGAGGCCCTGCAGCCGCAAGCAGAGAAACTGAATTCCTCTGAGGACTCCAGCTCACAACATGCTATTGCCGAGGATCTGGCCGATGCGGACACCAGCAATGCCACCATTGTCAACACAGAGATAGTCTCTGAGGATGAACTACCTCTGCCCAGCAAGCCAGAAATAAACGATGCCGAGGAAGTATCCGACGAAGAACTTCCAGCCCCGCAGCGGGCTGAGTTGCCAGCGGATGCTGAAGTAATCTCTGAGGACGAGCTGCCTACCCACAATAACAATAACACCGCCAGTGAGCCCAAGGCAGTGAAGCGCAAGGCGGAAGACGAAATCATTAAGAGCACCGAAGATAAGGAAGCAAGCAGTCTTGAAGCAAGCGCAAAAGATAAGTCCGCAGAGCAATATAATCCGGGCAGTCCAACATCTGAGAGCAACGATGCACAGCCCTCTGAGAAAAAATTCAAAGTGGAAGGTAATTATTAATCGTCTGGTGACTAATAAGTTGGTAGGGCTTGACTCACACTATTTTAACCCATAGAATCGGAACCCAAGGAGAAAAAGAAGGAAAAGGAACGCGATAAAGACAAAGATAAGGAGAAGGATAAGGACAAAGAGAAAGATAAGGAAAAGGAGCGTAAGAAGCTGCCGGACCTAGATAAGTACTGGAGAGCTGTCAAGGATGACTCCACCGACTTCACCGGCTGGACGTACTTGCTGCAATATGTGGACAGTGAGGTGGCTCTTCGTCGAACGCCTATCTCGAACTTTAAATAAGCTTGTTTTTCCTTTTTCAACAGTCCGATGCGGAAGCGGCTCGCGAGGCCTACGATACATTCCTGTCCCACTATCCCTACTGTTACGGATATTGGCGCAAGTACGCCGACTACGAGAAACGCAAGGGCATCAAGGCGAACTGCTACAAGGTGAGTACCCCACTTACATTTGGTCGTGCAAATAAATATCTTTCGCAATTTTTTGTACTACGCTTACAATTACGATTACAATTGATATTCATATATTTGTTGTTAAATGCAATTTATTATGACCTAATAAAAATACTACATTCAATAAATGCTACATTTACCAAAATACACCAAATTGAGAAGACAAAACAAAACTTGCCATGAGACTAGTGTAGCATCCACTTAGGATCGTGTTTTCTCATAGGGCTCGTGTCTGCTAAATACTTTTTACGGGGAATGTATCTGAAAATGGTATGGCTTCGACATCGAATCATATCATCCTTTAGGTGGGAAAGGATTGGTGCTCGGGGCATTTTTTCAAGGGAGGATAAGAAACTAATGCGTATAAAAAAGCCTCAAAATTGATTTACGTTTATTTAAAGTAGCTTCTGTTTTGTAACCTTAGTTACACATAACTCTTGATTTTGAAACCGGACGTCGACCTTTTTTGCCATTCGTACTTCTTACACCTTAGCACTTTTTTTGTGATCTTTGCCCCTGATATATGATTCTTTATCTTCACGACACTAATTTGACGTTTAAGCATAAGTCACTCCTGTGTCGCACAACTCACGCTGTAATTCAGCATAGACTAGCTCAACTCTGTTGACCCCTTAAACCCCAGACCGATCTGAACCCGAAAGCGACTGGTTCGTCCACTCGAAGTACGATCCGTCTACTTTCTGATCTTCGTACGTTTGTATCACCAGTTACTCCTCTTCAGTTACGTTACCTCCATCCTTCTTCAACACGATATAAATAGTGAGATCGCATCTCGTGCAGTCGTAAGTACAAATGGCGTTTAAATGAAATTTTTAAGTCTCTTTGTGAATTTTTTTGTAAATTGAACACTTGAAGTGTGTGCCAAAAAAAAAAAAAGAAAACAACTACAACCTGTGTGTTATGTATTCCGTGTACTTGTAAAGTCGTTAAGTTAGCTTTTAAGACCGAACACCATTCACATCAAAACGATAGCCTTAAGTATCTGAGCATTTAACTCTTCAAAGCTTACTATAAACCACGAATATTTCTATATTTCTCTTCTGCGATCAATCAACAATAAATGAAAAAACCAAAACTTGTACCGAACATACGAAATGACCAAATCCTAGGTGTTTGAGCGTGGACTAGAGGCGATTCCGCTGTCAGTGGATCTGTGGATCCACTACCTGATGCACGTTAAGTCCCATCATGGAGAGGATGAGCAATTTATTCGCTCCCAGTACGAAAGGGCAGTGAAGGCATGCGGCCTGGAGTTCCGCTCGGACAAACTCTGGGACGCCTACATTCGCTGGGAAAACGAGTCAAAGCGGTACCATCGTGTGGTCCAGATCTACGATAGACTTTTGGCCATACCCACACAGGGCTATAATGGCCATTTCGACAAGTGAGTTAAACTCAAATTTACTTTATGAAAGATGTGAATAATTGGGTATACTTTTCAGTTTCCAAGATTTGATCAATCAGCATGCTATAACTAGTACACTTGCAAACGAGGAGCTGGTCCGTCTGCGCAAAGACTTCCACGAGCGTCACCAGAGCAAGTCCTCCAAGTCCTCGTCCAAGCATCGACGGGACAGTAGTAGCAGCTCCAAGGACAAGGACTCAAAAGAGCGAGGCGAACGGGAGAAGGACAAAGACAAGGAGAAGCGAGAATCTGGCGGAGGCGGTGCTGGTAAGTCGCCAAAAGATACTAGTGAAACTCAAGTCGATGAATCAGATAGTACTACCGATCTGACCACTGAAAGCGAGTCATCGCCTGCAGCTTCAAAACCGGCGCTGCAGATCGATTTCAGTGATCTTAGCACGTTGAATGACGAAGAGGTGGCCAGCATTAGGGACAGGGCGATCTCGGCGCGGCGCAAAGTCCACAAGCTGACCGTGAGCGCAGTGACAGCCCGCTGGTCCTTCGAGGAAGGCATCAAGCGGCCTTACTTCCATGTGAAGCCCCTAGAGAGGGCACAGCTCAAGAATTGGAAGGACTACCTGGACTTCGAGATCGAAAAGGGTGATCGCGAGCGCGTCCTGGTTTTGTTCGAAAGGTGCCTAATCGCCTGTGCATTGTATGACGAGTTCTGGCTGAAGATGCTTCGTTATCTAGAGTCTTTGGAGGATCAGAGCGGAGTTGTGGACCTGGTACGCGATGTTTACCGCCGTGCCTGCCGCATCCATCATCCGGACAAACCCAGTCTGCACCTGATGTGGGCCGCCTTCGAGGAATGCCAGATGAACTTTGACGCCGCCGCCGAAATTTTGCAGCGCATCGAGCAGCGTTGCCCCAATCTTCTGCAGCTTTCCTACCGCCGCATCAACGTGGAGAGACGTCGAGGAGCGCTGGACAAGTGTCGCGAACTGTACAAGCACTATATAGAGAGTACAAAGAACAAGGGCATTGCCGGCAGTCTGGCCATCAAGTACGCCCGTTTCCTCAATAAAATCTGTCATGATCTCGACGCGGGCTTGGCCGCCCTGCAACAGGCGCTGGAACGTGATCCGGCCAACACTCGTGTGGCTCTGCAAATGATCGATTTGTGCCTTCAGCGCTCAAAAGTTGATGAGCAGGAGGTAATCCAAATTATGGATAAGTTCATGGGACGCGCGGACATTGAAACCGATCAGAAGGTATTGTTTGCCCAGCGCAAAGTGGAGTTCCTTGAGGATTTCGGCAGCACGGCCAGGGGTCTACAAGATGCACAGCGCGCTCTACAGCAGGCACTCAGTAAAGCTAACGAAGCGCAAAAGAAGAGGTAAGAAATCCATGAAGTCGTTATCCCTCCTCATTCCTTAATCATGCTTATTTCAACAGTGATGGCAGTCCTAGTCGCAAAAACTCATCAAGCAGCAAAGAAGGTCCTGTCCCCTCAGGATCCTCGACGACAGCTTACAACAATGGTGGCCCGGCCGCGGCAGTCGCTGGCTACAATTATGGAGCAGCGAATCCATACTACGGCCAGCAGAATGCCGCTGCAGCCTATCCCCCGCAGGCACCACAACAGACGTCCTATGACTCTTACTACAATCAATGGGGATATGGTTCCGGTGGGGCCAGCGCCAGCAGTGGTGGCGGCTACAACTATAGCCAGTGGAGCGGCTATGGCAACTACTATTGAGCTCGCTGCCTAGATCTAACCCACTCCACCTTTAGCTCTAAGACGCCACAGCTTGTTTAGTTTTGCCTTGCTGCTCTGTTAAGTTATAGACATTTAATTGTAATTTTTTAACAACTCTTATTTGAGCCCACAAAATAGCCCCACCATTGAGTAAAATAAATAATACCTGCTTTATCGGTCCACCATATTTCGAGTGCCTTGTATTTCGCCAAAATATGCTTGAAATAAGTCGAATTACGCCTAAATGGAAAATAAAATATACAGTTTGACAGTGAGCGCTCTTCGCGCGGCTCAACTGAAGTCTACAGATTGGGTCGATACCAGGTCACCTCGCCACCGTTGCATCCGGTTACAAGGAGCGGTTCCCTGGGGCTAAACTTGGCGCACAGAACGACGTCCTGGTGCTCGGTGATCCCGGCTAGCTCAACAAGCTTTCGCGGTTTGCTCTTCACCTCCTCAAACGCCTGACATCTCGGATAGTCGCAGCAGTCATCACTGTAGCCTAGGAGTCTCACTCCATTGCCGTACGGCGAGCAGACTACCCGACCGTCCGCTGAAAATCCCGGTTCCTTGATAAAGCCCGGCTTGGTGTTGGTCTCGGCGGCGTAGTAAAGCAGTTTCTTGGCATTCACCAGTATTGAATGACCGTTCTCCTTGAACGTTGGCGTTGTCACATGACTATTGAAAGGTCGCAGACGCAGCCTATGGCCGATCTCTAAACGGACCGTGGTGTCGCTGATGTTGCTGGAGCTGGAACTGCTGCTGGAACTACTGTTACTGGAGCTACTGCTGCTGGTCTGGTTGCTCTCTGTGGGCGGCGGGGTAGACAGGGGGCGAGGACTGCTGCTGTTGCCCATCAGACGATTTGCCCCCGATTGTCGAAGCGGAAGCACTCCGCTGCTGATGGCGTACACAAAGTTATAGCCGCTGACATGGTTATTGGAGATGCGTGCACGGTTTTGTCGGATGGCCCGCTCCTGGACTGTGACCTCCGCCGCCCAGATGTCCGGTATGAAGGAATCCGAACGAGTCAGGACTGATGCGTTGACAGAGGCCCCACGGCCTGTTCCAGCGTTATCCAACTGGAACACCTGTACAGTGCTGACGCGCATTGGTCTACGTGGCTGTCTGGGAAGCAGCCCATCGGTATCCTGGTCTTGGGCGGGTTCATTCAACGTGCTGCGGCTGGCCAGTGTGGTGGACACTCGCTTTCTCTTGGGCTGTGGCTCCACCTCGTCCTGCTCATCCTCGCTGCGCACCGGCTCCTCGTTGATGTCGTGGATGCAGGTCCACTCGCTCTGCTCGTCGCAGCTGACGTTCCTCGTCAGCATGCAGCAACAATGCGGGTGAATTTGCAAGGCCATGATCATCTCGGCGTCGTTGTTCTCTGGAAAGTCGGTGACCAGCTCCACGCGGTTTTTCTTCTGTCGCTTGGAGAACACATGGTCGTACTTTGCGGCCTGTGGGATGTACTGTTCGCCCAACTGCATCAGTCGGTAGATACCGGGCTGGAAAATCGAACGCGCTTATTAGTTAAGGATCTACATATATAACCATACGATTTCTCCAGTCGAAACCTAAAATTTCTCACCCTAAATCCGCACAGATCTTTGTGCAGCGTTGTTAGGTCGAGATGGTGGATAATCATAATGTATCCACCGCTTGTGCAGAGAACCAGCTTATCGCCCGTGGGCGAAATCCTGCAGCGCATCAATCCACTGGCATGAAATACGCGCTGCGAAATTAGACCCTGTTCCGTCTGCGAATTGATGTCCCAAGTGAAGATGCTGCCATCGAAGCCCGAGCTGACGAGCAGCTTGTCCTTGGAGGAGTACTCGATGTTCTTCACCCAGTTGGAGTGGCCATGGAGGACGCGCAACTTCTGCTTCATGTTCCGCAGATCCCACAGGGCCACCGTAAAGTCGTCGGAGCCGGTGGCGAAGAGGCGCTCGTCAAAGAATCTGGAGCGAGGATTAACAACGGACCTCCTCGAATGAAACTGCTACACTTACTTGATGCAGTTGACACTATCTGTGTGGGCGTCCGGTACCTTGAAGATCTCCTTCTGTGTGATGGCGTCGAAGACTAGGACGCACTTCCTCTCCGTGGCGGCCACGACAACGTTCCCATCGGCATTGAACTCCAGGTTGAAGATGGCCCCTGTGCGCCCCGCCTCCGTGGGCTTGCAGTTGGCGTGGTAGCTATTGAACATGTTCATCGAGCTGTATATCCGCCGCATCAGGGAGTTGTCGTCGCTCCGGTGGATGTGGAAGCCACTTTCGCGGCGGCTCAAGTACCGCTCCATTGTGTGAATTGTGGGATCTTTCGATCGGATCGGAAAACCTGGAGAAATATGTTTTGGTGTGCCTGCTCGCGATTCTTCAGGAACCGCGATTCAATTTCCCCGTGGCCTTTCTTGTGTTTATTCTAAAACGAGGGCTGCAACGCCGTGTTGCTTGTAACCGATTTCTTTTTTACAACTGAACAATAAGGGATTAAGAAAGTTGAACAATGGTAGATTACACTATTTCCTAACGGCAGGGTAATCATCAGGCTTTGAATTACCCTTTATTTGACAGAATAATCTGTGGATGAATGCAATCGATTGTTTTAGCGCCCCTTAACTCGAAGTAGTTCTATTCCAAAGCACTTATTGGAGTTCAATATTTTCTGACATTATGATCATACAATTTTATATTGCAGCCCTGAAAAGTAATGTTTTTTATTTAAGGCAATTTATGATTTTGTATACCCTTAGTAGGCACCCTTAGTAGGTACCCTCAATAGGACATAGAAAACAAACCTATTTTTAATATTTTATTTTCATTTATTCATTGATTTCATATTCATTTATTTTCAATTATTTTCAGTGCAACGTATTTATTCTGCAATTATGTAGTATTTGTTATTAATGATAATTGTTGACAAGTTCCTAATCTACTAATCAACTATCCAATTATATGACATTATTATTTACTTGTCTTAAAAATCAGATATCGTTAAGACTGAAGTTATTATTTTAAAATTATTATTATTAAAAAATCAATTTTACCAATTTTGAGATAAGCAAATCATCGATTCTATCGATAGCACATCGATTTTTTACAACTTTTGTTAACCGCTTACCAACACTAAGCTTATTGGAATAAACAAAATGCGAGTTGAACTGGAGATAAAACCTTTAACCATGCTGAATTACCGTTGATAAAAGCCTTTTGAGATAACTTTTAAGATCCGTCCAAAATGGATCGGTTTGCTTTTAAGATCGACGCGGCCCTCAAGGCGAATCTCTGCAAGATCTGTCGGCTGTGCGGCATCGATAATCCAGGAAAAGTGCAAATACTTTTGCCAAATGAAGAAGTCACCATTGACCTGGACGAGCCCAGTATGTCCCAGAAGATCTACGAGTTGGTGGGCTTCACGGTGGGTAGTTTTTTTTTTTAAGAATTAGTCCTGACCAAGTAAACCAACGCCCTTTGCAGGTGTCCGTGGACGACAAAATGCCGCAGACAATGTGCAGCCAGTGCGTGGATAAAATCAATGATTTTTATGAGTTTCGGGAAATGTGCTATGCGACAAATAAACAGACTCGAAATCTTTTGGGATTAAAGCAAATAGAGCCCGCAAGAGTAAGAAATACATTACAAATACAACTACAATTAATGAATATGCTTACTAATGTCATATTTAGCTAATTGATCTTAAGCCCGTCGTTAAGGAGGAACGGCAAGTTTCTGGGGCAGTTGGAAAACGGGGAAGGAAACGCAAGGGCGATGAATCCTGGCCAAAAAATAACCTTAATGTCAAGCCACAGGTCAAAAAGGAGCCCTTGGTGTGGCACAAGAAGCAAAAACTGCAGCCTTCACAGATTACGTCCTTAGTGTCGAAAAGAGAGCCGCAGATGTAACTATAACATACTTTCATGTTGCTCCTTTTGGTAATCATTCCCTTTTTCATTACCCCAGTAAAGACGAACCCGCTGATCCGGAGAGCAGTCTTAAGGGACCACCGAAAAAGGGCGGTCGCAAGTCTATTTGTAGCGTTTGCGGCGAGAAGTTCCTTAGCAAGGAGCTGGCCGACGATCACAAAAGCCTGGTGCATGTGCCTTCGATACCGCGTTACATGTGTAATGCCTGCAACCAGACGCACCATAACCATAGCGACATACGCGCCCACCAGCTATGGCATAAGCTCTCCAAGACGCCGTACAAGTGTCCCGTGTGTGAGGCCAGCGTGGCCAATGCCTACGCCTTTACGCGCCATTTGCGCGAACACACACCGCCCACTCCCGTTCAACTGCTCGTTCTGGATCGGGAGTGTCCGCTGTGCAAGAAGACTTTCGTCACGAACTTCTTCTACAACACTCACCGCTGTGCCATCCGTAAACGCAAGTGCGGCGGTTGCAGTCGCGCCTTGAACACCGAAGCGGCCTATATGCGTCATGCTCCAACCTGCCCAAAGATTTACCTCAACCACTCGAAGCACATCATGCCCCAGGTGGTGACTAATGAGGCGCACATGCTCATCAAGAACGAAATCGAGGAGGAATTGTTGGGTCTTCCGCCGGCCACAGCTGTGCCTCCGGATTTCGTCATAGACGAGGGTATGCAACCGGTAGTGGTCCTGGAGCGCCTGTCATCGCCTCTACTAAGGGCTTCGTCTGGACCCAATCAACTGGGTGTCTCTAAAGGAAAAAATAGCGATAGAGTTTCTGCCAAGAATTATTTGAAACGAGTGGATCAGCTGCTAAAGAATACGATGAACACTCTGGTCAGCATCAAGCATGAGCCGGAGGTGCACATCAATGACACGGGGCCAGCTGCAGGTCAGGCCGAGAGTGACCCCGAGCCGGAACAGGATGAAGAACATCCAAGTTTTGGGGATGATTTCCAGGCAGCTAACGATGACAGCGAGGAGGAATGTCAACTGGAAACAGGATCCGATAAATTCTCTCCTAATGCCAGTGACAATATTCCCAGTGTATCGGTTAAACAGGAACCCGAGTATGAAGGCTATGAAAAGCAAGCGTGGGTGAAGCAGGAGCCCCTGAAGCTAAAGCTCAAAATAACGAAGAACCATGGGAAGCTGAACTCTTCGCTCATAGACGATATAGATGAAGCGGGACCGGCATTTGGCAGAAGCAGTAAAAAGAAAAAGAAACGAAAGCATAAGGAACGGGAGAAGGAAGCGCCGACCGAGATCGAAAACTGTCGAACAGAATCTCAAAATCAGCCCGCAATTAGAATCAAACAGGAACCCGTTGATTACGCTCCTGAGGCCACTGTCATGACCACTATTCCTATGACGCAGTTTGATAGCAGCTTAAACGAAAACGAACGAAGCGAGGATGTCGATGAGGCCATGGCCCAGAATCAGGAAGATATTAAGCCAAATCGCATGGAGCTTGATCGTCTGATGCAGATCTCCCATGTGGCCAGTGGCGTGGATATGGCAGAAGAAGCAATGTCTTTGGAGAGAGCTGAAGAAGCCTGTCCCAAAGAGCCCCAGACAAGGGATGGGCTTCAAAATCCGACCGAAAAGGTGTCATCTGTAAAGTCCACAGCGCGCAAAAGTACGGGTGGTGCGGAACGCAAGACGTATAGCCCACCGAGAACGACCACTGTGCCGCAGATTGTAGCCGTTGTGAGCGGCGAGTCGGCGTTTAACATGATATCCATAAAGCCGGAACCGCGAAATCGCGGATATGGAGACGAGGAACCAGATGAACAACGGGAAACCACAGAAGAGATTAATCATAATGACAAGATGGAAGAGGAGGATGCCTACATAGGCAGTTTAGATCTATGTAACGTATCAGTGAAACAGGAAAGAGAATTGGACATATGCGAGATAGACGCCTTGCACAGTAACGGATTGGAGAAGAGTGATGAGGACGATGACGATGGAAATGATGACAGTGCATCATCAGCCGATGAAGCAGAGGAAGCCATGGAACAGGACGAGGAAGAGCGCATCTATCGTGAAATTGAGCTGCCACCATTAGAACTTCAAAACGAGTCGGATATGCCATCAACTAGGAAAGATGCGGAATCCGAAAGAATGGATACAGAGGTATCCACTGCGTTGCCTGCCGGAGAAACTCATCCGCAAACTTCTGACGTACTAGGTGTGGAAAAAGCTTCTGCTTTTAGTTTGGTCATAACCAACATATGCAGTCAGGCTGTACCGCAACCATCTGCAACATGCTCGAATGAAACAGAATGTTCGATAGGGCCAAGCTTAAGCCCTGCAGATGAACGGCATTTCCACACATTGGAAAGTGTCCAGCCTTCTAAAAACGACATCCAAACTTCTCAACAACTTACCATCCCACAATCCCAGTCAGATTCTAGCATGGTCTCTCAACCTGCAGCTGCGCCCGAAACCCAATCAGACGTTAAAGATGATACTAAAGATCTCCCTCCCGCAGCTAGACAGATCCAATCCTGTAACACAGGAGACGGATCGCACTCTTTTGCAGCTATGGAAACTGTTCTTGAAATCCCGACAATCACCGCAATTCGACCTCTCGAAAATTTGTCGATTCAAGTCCATGCGGAAAGTGAAGATCATTCAATAGGAAACGGGGCCTCGTATCTGGAATCAAGTGCTCAGGTCGGTAGTCAATCCGCCGGAACAGAAAATACCTCTGTGGCCCTAGATGAGAACGAATCCCTCCCAAATGGAAGCTCGGTTCCGCCTATAGCTAAAACCCTTTCCCCCGCACCAGTTAATTCACCCCCGCACAATGATCAATCAGAATCTCTGGAGAAACCAGACACGGCAGCAGGGAGTGCAGATTCTTTAACAATAGAGCCACTCGATGCTCCCAAGGACACTGAAACGCTGGCTTTGCCACCTTGTGAGACAGCTAACATAGATAGTAACTACGCGTGCGACGAAGAGCAGCAAAATGTGCTGAATCATGAGCTCTCGGAACAACAACTGGCTGCACTGGAAGACAGACAGCTACTAGTTCATGATGAACAGCCGTCTTGGCTGGAGGTAATACCACCGGCCAGGCCGATCGAGGAGACTGAAAACCGCATTAACGAGCAGCAGCAGGATATGGAGCAGGGGGAGGAACGGCCGCCTCGTTTCCAGGCAAACGACGATTCCAATATCAACGAAATCGCCGAGAACAATAACAACGCCAACATTGAGCGCGAATTGCAAGACGATGCGCTCGGGGCTTAGGAAAACGTAAATCCATAGACTTCGGTTAGCTGACTGGCCATACCCAATATACAATAGCATGCTTCACTAATTCTGTTAAAATTTGTATATATGTAGGGAATGATGAATCGTGCTTTTGTAGTTGGATAAAATCGAAGCTACCATGAGTTGCGAATAAACTTTATACGGATAGCATTAGTTTTAAGTTAGATATACACAATTTTATTACATAAATTAATGGCTTATATGTTAGCATATGTAAGTATTATGTATTTAAATACATACATCGCACAAAACTTTAGACATGCGTACACATTAATCCAAAATCTGATCCACATAAATTGCTCGCTCTGACAAGCTTATTGGGTTTATTAGTTTCAAAAATGTCATGAAAACATACATATACGTAATCTTGATTTAAATACAAACACACAGAAGAAAAATGACTACAAGTTTGCATTAAATGCGCTCAAACTAAAAGAAAATACTTATGCGTTACTAGGTCATAAATCAAGTGGGTGTAACTGGATGTAATAGACAGCTTTAGCGGACCCATTGGTGCCCGAGGAAGCCTTGTGGTCAACATAATTTGAATACATGCCTATTGGACTTAGCCACACTTACATTACATTTGTTAATAATTATTTCAACAAGTAGTGAATTATTACTGAGCAAACTTGTAAATTTAGTTTATGGTTAATTGCGGGCAAATCTATTAGTTTAAATATTGTATTTGAATAATTCTCAGCTGTGGCTTTATTAATAGCAGTCACAGATTACTTTTCGTTTGATCCTTTCCTTTTGTTTGTAGATTTATAAAATATATTCACTATAATAAATTTCTATCGCTCAGTTTACAGTTTTTCAGTTCGCTTCAAGGTGAATCTCTAATTTTTCACAAACTCCTTTTACATTTTGGTGTTGTCAAGTTTTTGGCACAGTAGTCTGAACGGGGTTTGCAAATTTCACCCACATATGTGTATTTTTCGTATTTAATTGAGCAGCTTTATGGATATGCAAATGTGATTTGGAACAAACGAAAACGGGCAAATGCTGATAAAATTTCTCAATTTGTGGTTATCCTTTAGTACATTTTGTTTTTGTTAAACTCGTACAATTAAATTAAAGAGGTATGAAAATTCACTAACAGTATTTACAGGGATTTATCTAACGATAAACCAAAATGCCAAAGCACAAATTAAGTTATTGCTTATATTTGGAATAGTGTCTGCCTGCCCCTATCGCGTCGTGTCATCAGTAGTTCCCTTAGTCCCACTCCCCTTCGTTGTCCGAGGACTCGGTTTCGTCCTCGTCCGAGTGGATCGCGTTTCCACGCGCCTCCAGCGCACGACGCAGTGCATCGGCCAAGGCGTCTGTACCTGCTCCGCTGTCGCTGATCCGCTGACTGCCCAGCTCCCGTTCCTTGGCCGGCTTTAGAACCGTGCCCTGACGGATATCCTTCATTAAATCGCTGCGAGAATCGCCACTTCCAGTGCTGAGAGCAGCCGTATCCACTTTCTGTTTGGATTAAGTAAACTAAATGAACAGAAACCTATTAAACTTTCGTTCACTCACCTTCAGCTGGGTTCCCTTGCGTATGGCGTCCATTAGTGCATTGCGTGGATCTGGGGCCGCCGGAGCTGCTGGCCGGGCTGCTTGAGTCGGTGCTTGCGTGGTCGTAATGACGGGAATCTCTCCCACTGGCATGGGCAGGGGTGGTGATGGCGGCACCGCTGCTGGTGGCGGCGGCGGTGGGGGTGGCGGCTGTAATAAAATTCCAATTATTGCTTGTCCATTTTAATCGGGCACAGATGACTTACCGCTACAACGGGCGCACTGACTGGTGGCGGTGGTGGAGCGGTGCTAATGGGTGGTGGTCTGTTGGGTGGTGGAGGAGCTCGTACGGCGCCCGGCACAGTGACGGGCACTGCGGGCGGTGGTTGTCTTGCCGGCGGCAGCGGAGGAGCAGTTCTTTGGTTGCCATTCTGAATTGAGAGATTAGATATGTGGTAAAACATGCAGCATATACATATAAAAGGGCTAAATAAAAACTTACAGAGGGATGTCGTGTTGGCACCGGTGGCGGCATGGGAGGCGTTGTTTCCGTGGGGGATTCCACACTGCATTGCTTCACCGAGGCCAGGACATTGTTGCTCTGTATGAAGTCGTAGATGAAAGCGCGGGTGTCCCGATCCTTTAGCTCCACTTCGGAGACACCTGCCCTGACGAAGAACTCGTTCAGCACCTCATCGTTCTCGTTGCCCGCCAGATCAAATCCCTTCTGCGCATCCCAGCCCACGTGGCTGATGTGCACAAAGTTTGTCGGCTGGCTGATGTCCGCCTTGGTCACCTTGCGCTTCTTGTCCTTCGCCTGGTTGCCGAGCCCAAAGCTGCTGGACAGGAAATTCTTTGACTGCGCTGGCGCTGGCGCAGGCGTCAGGGTCACCGAGTTGATCTTATTGTTTCTCAACTGAACACCGTCCGTGGCGGACATACCGCCTTGCAAGGGTGGTGGCCTTGCCGGCTCTCGTTGTACCTGAGGCAATGGAGCATTGGGCGCCTGCTGGCTTTTCTGCCGGTTGCGCTTCTCTTGTCGCTTGCGGTTACGCGTCTCTATGGTGGCGTCCACAATGCGAAAGAACGAGTCGCACTCCTCCTCGGAGACGAAGTTTAGTCCCACATGACCATCCTGAAAAGATTTACAAATCAATAATATAAGCTTAGATGCCCAAACGGAAGGAGGATCGAAAAGGTTACTTACACTGCCCTCGAAGGTGAGCAGGAAGGGTCTCGACTTGACCACCTCCATGCCATCGTAAATCTCGTGCTCCCAAATCAGTTCGTTCTTGATCAGGCAGTAGGCGCGCATGAAGTAGGACCGAATGGCGCTATCCTTGACAAAGCACACCACTCCAGTGTGCCGCTTCTTCCAGTGGGCATGGGCACTGCCCTCCGTCTTGTAGATCTGCACCACGGCGGTGTTCAGTGTCTGAAAGTGGAGCAAGCAAAGATTGCGTTACATAAAATTATGACCATCGATAGAAAGGTCCGGGGCGATTATCTAATATGGGCGAACAAAAGCCTTCCAACACCTTCAGTTTGCGCCTCATTTGAATGCAACTATCAATCCGACGACCACGAACTCAATGAACTGTCGCGCTCGAGCTGAAAAACTCATCTGACTTTCGGTTTCGCTAGTTTCTGGCCATCGAGTCGATGGCCCCCGAGTGAGTGTTGACTCTTTTGAATACCGATTAGCCTGGCCAGCTCTTGCAGCAACTGCAACTGCGAGTTGGATGGGCAATCCAGCAGCTTGGCATGAGGAGCACGTAGACCCGGTTGATGGAGGGCCTACGTCTAGTCGGTGGTTATTAGTATAGAGGAGAACTCTCCGCGGATAAGTGCGCATTTCTGTCTCATTGCAACGGAAACCCATAGTGTGCACAGACAAAAAGTAACTATCATCCACTGCTTTAAAATGGAAATTGTGTTGCCCTTTAAATAGATGGTATAGACAGTCCCTTCGAGCTAATGAAAATTGTTCTCTGTGTGCTTTCTGTGACGGAGGACATCGTTTATGACCCAGACAGGAAATGGTGGCGACAAACGAAGAAGTGCATCCTGCACTGCCACTGAATTGCCGCATCAGCATAGTTGCCAAAACCATTATGAGCATGAAGCTCTGCCGCCAGAAAAGTCAAGGCAAACGCTTATTTATTTATTGGAAACTTTGTGAGAATTTTCGCAGCAAGGACACAGGAATTACCAGCCTCTCTTAGGCCCTCTAAAAGTGAGTGTGCGACTTGTGGCCCTAACATTTGGCATTTGCCTGAGGCCAGAAAATGACCCTCAACCCGAATCGTGGCTAATTGATTCAACTTGCCGCCCCTGGGCGATGATCCAAAATGTTACGTGCTGGCAATTGAAACACTGCAGCCGAACAGCAATCCAGCATTATCAATTAATGGACACATTAGAGATGGATGGATGGTTGGTGGATGGGCAATGGGCAATGGCCATGCAGAAACGTTTGCAGCTGACCTTTGACTCAAATAAAAGAGAAAGAGGCATTGACGGCCAGTGGATTTTATGTAGCTTCGGATGGATGCTTTCCAGCCCACACAACACAGCACAGCACACAAGTTATATCGCTGGCAAGTGCGAAATTGTGAACACATTTGAATTTTTATTGATGCTTAGCTCTGCCTTTTTTTACTCGTCAACTTTGTGCGGACATAAGTAGCATTGTAAAAATGATGTCTTGCCTTCTACGTACAAGCTGCTGTTTCTTTTGAAAAGCATTAAAATCGATGGAAAACCAGCGACAGCAAAAAGTGGTCATTGCCACCGAGCGTTTGGCTTGCAGGAGCGGGGGAGAGGTGGGGTCTTAGCGGTACTAATCAACCCAAATGGGCCAAGCGGTAAAAATGCTCATACGCCCTGTGGTCACTTTATTATGTCACATTTTATATAGGAATTTATCCAGCTATCTATAGCTATTAATTTTATTCGCAATGTATTTAGCTAATATCATTGCTATTTAAAGATGTTTAAAAATACTAGAAGTGAGTCAGCTACTTCACTTGTTTATTGAAATTCTTTAGAAAGTAATCAAAGCTAGCTAATTATTCAGAGAGCAAACGCTGGGATTTAAAGCGCACAAAAGCCCAACATAAACATCAATTAGAAAGTTCGGCCTGTGCAGAAAAATGCGTCAAATAAGTGTATACAAATAAATGCGAGCAAGAGTTGCGACAAGCGACTGTCAAACCACAATAACAACATCGGGTTTGCTAAGCTGCAGCTTTGAGTGTTATCACACGATGAATGTGACACTATAACGCACAAAGGCAGGCAGCATTCGATACAGTGAAAACAAGATATGGTTTGCTGATTGATTGAATATTTTCCAGGGTGTAACAAAGGCTTGCTCTTGAAAACACCAGGTAATCCCTTTCTTTATCTCAGAGAGCAGGGCATATGAAAAGGTCTGGGATTAATGACATAATTTACAGATCCCTGAACGTTTTCATCGAGTTGCCTAATACTCGTAGCTTCAGTGAATCAAAAGCAGAGCCCATAATTATGAAAAATGGATTGGTTGTGCTTTTTTCTGCGTGAATGAAGAGCGGCCAACTACCTTAAACAGCCCCGTTGGTTGCATTACTTTGGCAGGGTTCAAATGCATTTGAAAATGTTTTGTCAATGGAAAGTTGCGAATTAGGAAAGCGTGAATTGCGAATCAAAATGAACGATTTTCCCATGTTGTGCACACCATAATTATCCGCATAACGGCCGCCGTTAAATGGTCACATTCCAAGTTTCCACTCCAATTTCAGGGCATTCTTATCGCATTTGGCATTGGCCGGTGATTCGCATCGCGCGGACGGATTGATAAGATAAGGTTCGACTGTATTTCCAAATACCCAAAGTCTTATCGCGACCCAATGGAGCCGAGCTAATGGTTTCTCTTTCATTTCGCACCAGAATCGGCATTGGCACTACAATACTATGAAATAAATAATAAACTAATCAAGAAGTGCAAACAACTGCGCTTGTGGGCTATCAATGCCGGCTCAAGCCGTTTGCTGATGGAGTCACTTAGAAATGCTAGGTAAATATTAGTAATGCCAACGAAGTCTCACAAATTGCTCTAGTAACACTAGCCAACACATTCGCAGTCTACTCTACTATTTATTCATCATATACTCATTGTGATTTCTGTCACACCTAATTTTGTAATTAACATTAAATACGAGAATAGTCTCCAATAAATTGTAATCTATGCATAGGCACTATAAAACAGCTGTGTATTAATGATTCATCTGTTATTCTTAAATTTATTGTTCGGCAATGCGAACATTAATCTAAATGGTTATCTGCAGTGACTCAAGTCGACTTTCCAGCTGAATAATGTGGTTTTCAAATAATCGCCATGCTAATAATGTGTATGATATGTTTTTTTATGAACTCCTATGAAAGTTTTATAGTTGACCAACTATTTTGAATTTGACCTGTATAGAACTCTAATGTTTAGCTTCCGTTCCCATCTTCAAATGGGCAAAGAGACCATTTGGCTATGTTGGGCAGTGCAAGTGAAATTTGGTAAATATGCCAGACAGCTGCCTACCGACCGATGATTTTTATGATATAGGGCTACTATGCTTCTGCAAAGCGTCGAGCGAAATTCGCACACGATGGGCGACACTTGAGCCGCAGGAAGTGCTTCATCAAGCTGTGGGATATGCTCGGCGAAAGCGGAGGAGGAGGAACAAAAACCATGTCATTGCCTAATTATTAATCACCCGGTCGGGGCATTATGCATCATCAGTACTCAACTCACCTGGCACTTCTTGCCCAGCAGCTTGAAGACGGCCTCATTCTCCTCCTGGGTGAGCAGCGTGCTGGCGGCATTGACCTTCGCCCGCGGACCGTCCTGCGACCTCATACCGCTGCTCATCTGGCCGGAGTCGTTTTATCTGGGTCTGGAGCTGGATCTGGGGATCTGGGCTGGTTTCCCTGCACGATACGGACACAACACGCATTTTATTGTGTGGCGAAAACAATACGCAAATGAACAAAAGCTAAATGTATTAATTTAATAACACAATACGCAGGGGACCCCGAGAAAATAAAAAGTTCATTACAATACAGGCACTCGGAGCTACAGTTAAACTTTGATATGCTAAACAAGAGTTTGGGATGGTTGGGTTGACGATATATGAGAAGTTTGAGTTCACAAGGTATTATATTAAATTAACGCCTTGGAATATAAAAAAGATATCTACACTGAATAGGTTGTTTAATTTTGGGCAGTGTACAGCTTGTAAAAACTTTGAGTTTGAGCAACGGAGGGCGGCGTGTGTTGCGAATAACCCGAATTGGGATCGAAGAATTATGGTTTTCGGACTGCTGAATCGATGGATAGTATTGTCTTTACGGTTTTGAAAACCTTTTGGCCCGAATTACGGCCAAGAGCGCGAGCGAGAGAGGCCGAGACCTGCGCTGGCTATGACGATGTAGCTGGTTATGGTGTCGGCGGGGCTGCGAGCGGATCGCCTGGTCTGAGTCACGGTGCCCGAGAGTCGGAACTGGGAATCAGTAACAGAAACAGTCAGCCAGCTGCGTTTGAATTTGGGCAAGAGGCAGCCCAGTGGCAAACTCTTCGAAAAGAGCCCTTATCTTTGGCGAAAAGCACTGATTAGGTGTGCGCATGTATCTATGTGTGATACATGCACAGTGGCCTGGGTTACTCAACATTTGGCCCTCGCCACTCGCCACTCCACCCCACTGTGCGCCACTCCGCAGCTCCAAGATTTGTGAGAACACCTGTCCGTCGTCGCGCCAGGTGGGGTGAAAATGCAAATGTAAATAGACAGACGCTGCTGCGGATTGGGAGTTTGTCCATGGCTTGGGTTGGGTTGGATGATGGACTCTCCCCAGCTCAAGGTCTCGGATTTCCCGTGAGGGCTGCTCTGCTGCTGGGGGGGTCGCCCATTGATTTTTTGCGTTTATTTTCGTGCACTGCTCTTCACTCTTTCGTTTTTTTCCCACACACAACACAACACACCACAAAATCTGTGTAGTCTCTGGCCTTGCGGACTCCGGGTTCCTTATCGTGAGGCTCTACTGTGCGCGCGTCCGCGTCATCGAGTGCATGGCGTTGAAAACGAGTGTTCCTCCGGGGTGATAAATCGCCTGTTCGCGGACGCACTGCTAGTTTGTTTATTCATTTATTTTTTTCAATTCAATTCATTTGCTCGCCAGTGTGACCAGCCGAACCAGGCGATAGACCGATAAGCGTATCTATTCGATAATTACCTAAAAAATGCAGCAAGGTCGGTCAAGGCCCTGTTCAGACCATGCTGGAGACCATTCACTTTTGCCCATCACTAGTTCTGCCTTAAAGTGTTTTCAAATTTATTTGTGCACTTTTAGTTTTTTATGCCATAATTTTGAACATATCTGCGCTTTGTATGCAACGGCAAAACCTATTGAGCAATACCACAAGGGAAGGTGGTCGAAGTGCCGTGGGAATAGCACATCTTTGCATTCACGTTAAGTTTTCCGTTAAATTCGAATAATAAATAGCTTTAAGGTTTATTTACTACCACACCTTTTTATACCCCTTAAAAAAGTAAGTCTTGCCTTCAAAATATGTTTTATTTTGTTAAAAATAAGAATCGAGTAAATTTCACATTGGTTTTATTTTTTTGCTGACAAAAAGCATATTTCGATTTATTCATATTAAAAATGATTAATCGCATTGAATCGGTAAAAACTAAGTCGCAAATGATGAGCTTAATGCATAAGCTGTTTCCTAAAATGGTTACCCTTAAGTTGCTAAATTATAAAAAAGAATACTTAAAAAGCAGTGACTACAAAATGTGATTTTTCTTCTCTCTTCAGATATTTGGTGTTTGCATAAGGAAGCCAGGGGCATATTTTAAACTTAGAATATATTCTCAATACAGATGTGCAACTATACGATTGTAATTGATTTCTGTAGCTGCCCAATTGGCGGACCACTCTTCTAACTAAGTGTAAACGTTAAATCAGAACACATATTAGACTTGGTAAACCTTTCCTAATTAATGCGACAAATCGAATATATAGCATTTATATATATGCCAGTATACATTTTGTATATATTGGGGAGTTGTACACATGTTGAAAGGCCTGATCTAGTGTATATATATGCAATACATTTGGCTACACACGATCGGGAGCATAGGGCCTCCTTCTCTGACTGTGATTTGGATTAGTTGAAGTTACTAGGAGTTTGCGCTAACTCTATGCTAGACTGGTTGCTTACAAAGTTTTAGGGTCTACGTACATATATGTATAAAGTAAAAGGAGAGTAGAATATTGATTACATATTGCATATTGACTCCTATCCTAAAAACTCTTTGATTTTAACTCTGACTTTAGCTCTGCTTGTGGATGTGGACCTGTGCGTGTTCCGTTCCTAAAAAATGCTTGACAAATACAGTCCTGTTCCTCTTACAGTCTCCACTTCCGTTTCCGTTTTAACTTGGCTAATTTGTGATCGATGCTATCCTGACAAAAATAACCCTCTATTTCCGCGCGCCCACAACTGGCAGCTTGGACTTGACTCCTCCAGCGGTGCTGGGGGTATTGTCAAACGTAGAGCTGCGCAGGAGAGTCGGCTTCGTTCCATTTCCGTTGAGCATGTTGGAAGATTTGGTTTTCTGCGTCCTCAGGTTGGATGACGATTGCTTGGTTTTGGCCTCGTCCACTTTCTTCCAGATGTTGGCGATTCGGCTTTGGGCTTGGTTGATCTTGGCCGCAGCTGCTGCGGCTGCACTGTTTCCATTCAGGTTGGAATTGCTGCGGGATGGTGGAGTGGTGGACGACACCCGCGCGGAAACCACTCGCGAGGCAGCGGGGGATTTGCCTGCGGCTAATCGCAGACTGGTGTTTGCCCTTTGAGGCGTCATTCGGCGGGCCGGCGCCAAGGGAATCCTCTTGGGAGATCCAGCTTTGGATGGTGAGCCACCGCTGGCCGTGCCTTTCTTTGTGGGCAGCTTTGAGGCGCGGTGAGTGGGACTGGTTTGAGCCGGCTTTGTCTCCACCACGGGCACTTGAACATTAGAGTTCGTTGGCTCGTCCTTCACAAAGGTTCCCTGGCGTTCCAGGCGAGCGGGAGCGGGCTCTGGTGGCGGCGTCGGCTTCTTTTTGGCTGGTAGCCTAACTCCTGACCCACTAGCCACCAGGCTGCGTTTGGCAATTGTTGGAGACAGGGTTTTCTTCTTGGACGGGGCGGCATTGTTACTATTCCGTTGACTTTGCATGCTGTAGGGTGAAACGTAGGCTGGTTTCTTGCGACCTCGCACCAGTTTTACGGCCGTGGCGGGCTCCAAAGTTGTGGGTTTGACGACAGGTGACCTAAGTTCCGGAGGAGGAGGCAGCTGTGCCGGTTCCTGACCTTCGCACGACTCCGTCTCTGAGTTCTGATCGCACTCTGGGGATTCCCCTGCGTCTTCTGGAGGATCAGTATTCTCGCAAGTCTCCTGCCTCTGTCCAATGTTGATGTCCGTGATGAAAGTAAACTGTTGCATCATTGCTCGAATGGAGGAGAGCTCTTCGCTTGGGCAGTCATCGGGTTGGGGGTGTATCAAAGCCAGCGGACACTCAATCAGTTGGGTCTTGTACCGCTCGGCACTGCCCCTTCTCCTACCATTTGCGCGCGGTGAAGGCGTGGCCACAGGAACGGCAGTTTCCACAATTTCTATCTGCAGGGTTTCATTGGGCTCTGGTGCGTCCATCTCGCAGCTGGTGGCTATGGTGTAGGTCTTGTAGCGATCCTTCGTGAGACGTCGCTTGTCTTTCGGGGTGAGGGAACGACGATTGGGTGATGGCGTAGATCCGTGCTTGGGTGTGGACTCGGCCGAGCTGTAGTCATTCATTGTGGCATCCTCATCTTCGTCGAAGCAACTTTGGAGCACGGTCATGGTCTGATCCTCACAGGCAGCCGTCTCATAGTTGGACACTGAAATGGTGGTGGCCATGCTGCAGTCCTGCTCGCCATCGGCCACCTCCGACTGAATGCTGTCCACACTGATCATGGAGTCCAGCAGTTCATCCATCAGCGATGGGGGCTTGATGTTGTCCAGCAGGTTGCAGCTAGAGTTCACGCTCTCCGCACTGCCAGCCAAGTGTCCCAGGGCTCGTCTGGCTACCAAATTGGCTGGAAACATTTTCCGCGCAAACCTGGGGCTCTTGCTGGGCAGCGGCTGGCGCAGGGAACTCGGCTGTGAGTGATCCTGGTAGCAGCTGTTGAGCGATTCCATTCCCGACGGCGGACGAACGTTATCCAGATCCAAACTGTTCAAGCTAAAGGTCATTTCCGTGTTGTCATCGTCAGTGGCAGCGGGCTGGAGTAAATTTTCCGCCAGAGCTCGCGCTTCGAACGCAATCATTGTCGAGTTGGTCATAATGGAGGCACTCGTTCCATTAAATAATAGTCTTTGCGGTTCCAATCTGACGCCAGCATTCTGCACCTGACCACCCAATTGGAAGTTAAGACCTCCTGATGACCCTGAGTAGCTGTCAGCATGTCCATTAACCAGGGTATCTGTTTCACCTTCAAGCGACGCTGGTTGCTGTTCATTCGTGGGTGTAATCTCTATAAACTCATGCAGAGATCTCGCCTCTGTGGCGTCTTCATCCAAGCTTAAGGAGGCCAGAACCGGAGCCGTTTGACTTACGCTGGGAAAACTCACATCATTGGGACAGGTGCTCTCGTTCCAGGTGTTGTTACTACTGGGGTTCTTGTGGCTGTTGCTGCTGCTATGGTTGTGGCTGCTGCTGCGCAACTGCTCCGCAGAGGTAACAAACTCCATGGTCAGTCTCTCCACAGACTTCAGCATCAGGTCGGGATCCTTGTGCTTCTCGCTTGCACCCGATGTGCACGTTTCATTGGGAGCAGTATCCAACCTGACCATGGTCTCCATGATGAAGGACTGATTGGATTCATCGCTGGATCGATCTTCCGAGTCCAAGTCCTTAGACCCAGTAGCGGTCTCGAGACCGTTCTGACTCGCGTTCCCGCTCCCTTGATCTGGAACTGCTGGACTTCTTGCTGTGTCGGTGACGGTGGCGATGGCGTCGATAGGATTCGGGAGGATGGGGCTGCTCGGATGCGTGGACGACTGCTGGAGCGGTTTGCTGGTGGCGTGCGCTTTCTGCTCTACGTCTGGAGCTGCTGTGCTGAGGGCACTTGCTGATGTAGTAGCTGCCATTGGGTGACACGGTTCCAATGCAGCCGCAGACGTAGCCAGGACGTTTTTTGGCACGGCGTTAATCTTCTTCGATATGCCCGTATTGATGCATTCCTGCAGCAGCTTTTCGTCCTTGCGTTCTCGCTCCCGCTCCCTATGATGATGGTGATGATGATGATGACGCTGCCGCTTGACCTGTCCACTAGATGGCAGCTGCACCGGCAGCGAATCGAACTGCTTGAGATTGGGATTCGACTGGGCGGAAGAGGAACCCACTATAGGTTGCTCCTGCATTTGCTGGGCCCGGGCGCCGGGTTCCTTCGACTTGTACATGCCCTTGAGGATGCACAGCTCGAAGAGCGACTTGGACTGGTTGTCGTTAGAGTCGCTAGAGTCCACAGAACTGTACGACTCTTGTTGCTGGCTCTTGCGGACTGTCATCGTTGAATTTAGGGAGCTGGCCGAGGTGGCCGCATTGATGGCTATTGGCTGCGAGGAGCTCAGCGAGCTGGAGCGCTTGCCGTTCGAGCTGAAGCCAAGATTCGATTTCGGTCTATTGCAACCAGCGGCAATAGCCTAAACGGATAAAGAAATGGTTTAATATATGGTTAATTTAATGATTCATTTACCGCTCACCTGACTCAGTAAGTTGGTGTCATCCTCCGAGTCAATGGATAGAGAACTCAGCGAATCATCTTGCCAATGCGGGGGTCTTCGGATCTGCTCCTGTTTACCGGGCTTCGCCTTAATTCCAGGATGATTCTCATCCACATTGGATCTGTTGGGGAATAAATTGATTAAATATAGTTTTTAGTTAACTCAGATAAGCTCTTCTAACTTAAACCACCGATTGTTAGATCGGTTAGAGTGGCCGTGCCCACATTTGGAAACTGCATGCATAATCTCACTATTCTAGCTGTTGTAGTTTTGGAGATCGAGGCCTTCATACGGACAGACGGACGGACATGGCCAGTTTGACTCGACTATTGATCCTGATCAAGAATATATACACTTTATATGATCGGAAACGTTTCCTTTTGCCGGCTGCATACTTTTCAAGGAATCTAGTATACTC